AAGAGTGTGTGAGAAAGCACCTCCCATGGAGCATGGTCATGGTACAATTCCTCCATTCCTCCCTCCTTTCGGGATCCCAGCCGCACATACACACACATACACACACATGCACCCAGAGTGGTTTTCAAACAACTGGGTCTAGGACTTGAACTGCTCAGCTGACCATGTGAGATACAGACTCCTTAACCACTGCAGCACTGGCTAGTCTGCATATATGTGTGTGTGTGTGTGTGTGTGTGTGTGTGTGTGTGTATACACACCGGCAGGTGGTGTGGTGTGTAAGGACGCTGGATTCCCACATGGCTCGCCACGATTTGAGTCCCGGACCTGGTGGCTTGCTTTTTTTGTTCTCCCTCTCTTTCTCTCTCTGCTCAAAACTGGGGAAAAAGTAATGATAAATAAAGTTAAATAAAATAATTCCTTTTTTCAAAAAAGGAATATCCATGGGGTTGCTGGGTAGCAGCACAGACAAGGAGCTGCTCTGTGACGCTGACTCGTGTGGGAAGGTTCTGGGTTCACGTCCGGAGACCTCCCTGGTATACTAGGCAGGCTTGGAGTGAACTGGAAGGGTACAGAGGGGCTGAGCTGTAGAGGACGGGGGCCTTTGGGACAGCAGGGGACACATGAGCAAAGGTCCAGAGAGCGCTTGGGACATGGAAGGCGGGAGCGAGGGGAAACTCACCTTGCTGGGTCCCAGAGAACAGCCTCACTCCCCAGCAGGGTCCAGTGGCTGCAGGATCTGGTTTTGAACTGGTTAACTAGGAAAAAACTATAACACCCCACAGCACCCAGTGACCCTGAAATAGTCACTGAGCATGACAACGCTCCCTAGATCCCATTTACTCTCAGATTCCCCGGAAGTGATTACTGAGCTCCCTCTGTGAGCACAGTCCATGTTGGGTGAAGCTGGGGACACTTCAGTGACCCAGACAGCTCTGGCCCTGCCTTCAGAGGACTCCCAGGGCTATCCCAGATTGGGCAGGGTAGGGTCAGGGAGCTCAGAGGGCTGTGAGAGCCATGACGATGTGGGAACCCGGAGGTCAGGAGGGCTTCCTGGAGAAGGGGATATATGAGCTGATACTGAAAATGTAAGAATTATCCAGGTCAAGAAGAAAGAAATAGCATAAATGGCATTCCAGAGAGAGAGAGAGAGAACTGAGCTTCAAAGAAATAGCATAAATGACATTCCAGAGAGAGAGAGAGAGCTGAGCTTAGGAACAGAGAAGAGTCCAGGGAGCTGAGCTGTAAAGGTGGGGAGGAGAGAGAGATGAGGCCGCCAGGTAGCAGAGCCTCAAAGGCCCAGGTGGGGACTGGTTTCTGCCCTAGGGTACTAGGGAGCCATAGCACGGTTCTGAGCCGGGGAGGAATAGGGCTAAATGTGAGGTGAGCTTTAGAAAGTCCCTCTGGCTTCCTGGAACCAGCAAGTGATATGGTGGTTGAAGCGTTGGCTTCCCACATGGCTGGTCATGGTTTGAATCCCGGACTAGGTGGCTTGCTTTCTCACTTTCCCTTTCTCTCTCTCTCTGTTTTTCTCTGGTCAAATTGAAAAATAATAAGGTTAAATAAAATTAAATACATAATTATAAAAGAAAGACCCTCTGGCTTCCATGTGGCAGGAGGTGGAGGCGGGCCGGTGAGGGAGAGGCTGGGTGGGGACCCGGAGGCAGGAGGAGAGAATGGGCTGAAGAGACCTCCAGAGGTGGAGTGAGGAGAGAATGGGCTGAAGAGACTCCAGAGGTGGAGTGGTGGGAGTGGTGGAAGGGAGGGGTGGGGAAGGAGGGAGGGTGGCTGCTCCAGTCTCGCCCTTTCTTGTCCCCCAGAAGCCAACGCAGTTCCCACGGATGCTGAGCCCATCGAGCCTGACCCCACTCTGTCCCTGTCTGGAGGACCTGCCATCGGCCTCCTTGTGGCTGGAAGCCTGGGAATGGTGGCCCTGGTGGGAAGCGTGTGCTACACTACCTTCCAGAGCCAAAGGTACCTCCTGTCCCTCACCGCGGTCCCCCTGGTGATGTCCACATGGCCCCCAAGGCACAGAACTCCCTCTGCACTGACACAGACCAAACCACAGCCCCACCAGGAGAGGGGGCCGCTGCCTGCCTTCCTCTGACTCGGCAGTTCGCTCAGCCACATCACAGGAACGAAAAGAGGACGCTGGGGCTGGGCTGCCCGGCTTCACAACCAGCTCTGAACAGCAGCGTCACGTCCCCTCTCTGTGTGCCCATCTGCAGAGTGGGGACCGCAGTGAGCGCACGCCCCTCGCGGGGCTGCCACAGGGTGACATGTGCGGCCAGCCGTGCTCAGGACGTGGTGGTGCGTGTCCCTACGGAGTGCGCTGGGTGCCAGCACTGCGGACGCCACGGGAGGAGCCAGGGAAGAGTCCCTGCCCTCACCGAGCTTTCAGCCCCGGCAGGGGTCTGACAGCGACCATGGCTACGGCCCCATTTAGATAGGAGGTTGGACAGAGGCTGGGTCAAGGACAGACAGCTGGGGAGGCGGACAGGAAGTGTGGGGTGGAATGCCGGTTAACCAGGTCAGGGGAGGCCTCCCCAGAAAGTGACGTTTGAGCAAAAGAAGGGACGGAGCCAGGTGGATATCTGGGGAGAGGGCATGCCAGCAGAGGGAAAGGTCCCATAGGATTCTTGGCCGGCGTGATCAGGGAACAGCGAGGAAGCCGGCGTGGCCAGGGTGGCGTGACAAATGGGAACAGAAGCAGACAGAAGGTCAGAGAGGAAGCTGCAGAGAGTGAGGAGGGCCAGACATGGTAAGAGATGGAAGCCAGGGACGGAGTAGAGCAGAGGAGGGACAGGACGTGACTGAAATCAGGCTCACGTTGCAGCTCTGGACGTGCTAGCTGTGGGTAACACCGTTACCGCCTCGCCGAGCGTGGAGCACCTGACACGTGCTTCCCAAACATCATTCTACTTCAGCTCCACGAGAGCTGAGAAGGGGCAGGAGGGTGGTAGGGATGAAGATGCCATCTCTGCCCAAGAGGGAACTAAGGCTCAGAGAGAAGTGAGTGGCCCAGGGCCCCCCCGCTAAAGAGGAGAGATTCGAAACCAGAACCCTGGCTGACTCTGTTCAAGTCCCCTGCCCCCATCTTTGTCCCCCAGCATTAACCACACATGCCTTCATGGCCAATATACCAAGGAGGGGACACGTGGCCTATATACCAAGGAGGGGACACGTGGCCTATATACCAAGGAGGGGACACGTGGCCTATATACCAAGGAGGGGACACGTGGCCTATATACCAAGGAGGGGACACGTGGCCTATATACCAAGGAGGGGACATCTGCAGCTTGAAGTGATATGGGGAGGCCTTGTGGGCCAGCAGGGAGGGACTGGGGCCGGTCTCCAGTCTGTGAGTTCTTCATGGACCCATCTAGGTAGGGAGGGCCAGGTACCGCCCGAGTCACCTGCGACATCTTTGTCGTTGTGGCAGTTCCGATTTTGTGGGCCCCTGGTAAGTGTCAGAGTTCTGAAAGCCCCAGCTCTCAGAGGTGGCAGTGTTGTGGTCTTCATTTTCCAAACAGTAAAACTGCAGCTCAGGAAAACCAGTCAGCCTGCTCAAGGACACACAGCTGATGCCCGGCCAAACCTGAAAGCACCCAGATCTGATTCCACGGAGGGGGAGGGGGGAATCAGGCTGGCATGGAAATCCTCACCCAGACCACCCTGAGTCTGGGCTCATGAGCATGCATGAGATGTCACCTTCTGTCCCCCCTACCCTCTTGGCCAAGACCCATTTAGTTGCAGGCAACAGACTCCTGAGAGAGTCAATGCTGATGTCAGCTAGGAAGAACCAGCCTCGTCCAATCGGCGATGGCCTTGGAGATGAGGCTGTGGGGCAGGGACATGGGTGCTTTGATCTCTGCTGTGGGGAGAGGGATTTTGCAGAAAAGAGGAGTACAGGCTGGGCAGGAACCCCAGGCACAGACCTGAAGCTGGACTACTTAGAGTCACACCCAGCTCTGTCGTACGCTAGGTTGTGGAACTTTGGGTACATCCTTTAACCTCACCGCACCCCATCTGTAAAAGAGGGGTATGAGCATAACTACTCCAAAGGGTGGGAGTAAAGTGCTGGGCGCAGTGCCTGGAACGTGGTGGGTCCCCGGTAAATCCCAGCCACATGGTGACGATGTCTGTGTGAGTTGAACCAGGCTGCCATAACCAAACGCCGCGGGCTGGAGGCTTAAACAACCGGAATCTGCTTTCTCACGGTTCTGGAGGCTGGGAAGTCCAAGATCAGGGTAGCAGCAGGTTAGGTTTCTTGTAAAGCCTCTCCATGGCTCGCAGATCGTCACCTTCTCGCGGTGGCCTGTTCTCGGTGCACTCATCCCATTGTCTCTTCATCTTCTCAAGGAGACACCAGTCCTCTTAGATCAGGACCCCACTCTTATCACCTAGTTTAACCTTTTGTCCCTTTGAAAACCCTAACTCCAAATACAGGCACACTAGGGATTGATTAGGGCTTCGACATAATATATGTGGGAGTAACACGGTCAGCCTCTAACAGTGGTGATGTTGACGATCTCTCACTCTCTCTCTCTCACTCGCTTTCTCTCTAGGACTGACAGACAGAGAATACGAATATGCTGCTGAAGTGTGGGCACCTGTCCTGTTAGCCCAAGAGGTATACCAGGGAGGGTGGGGAGGGGATCCCGGGTCTGGGAACAGGACCAGGTTCCTCCCTCCTGGTTGTCTGATCATTTATCTGTGGACGATTCCCATCTCCAGATGCTGACACCCCACCTGCCCAGCTCCCAAAATCCCTGGAAGCCACCTAAACAAGAGTGCTATATTTCTTAAACCTTTCAGGCATCAAGCAAGAGAAATTCACTGATGTAACTCAAGAAAAAAAAAAGCAGAAGGAAAAATTTAATATAAGGATCCAGGAATGCAAAGGTGTCATCAGTCAGCATTTGCTGTGTACCAGACGATCCCCGAGAATGTAGTGACATGTAATAACAGCCATTTATTCGTATTTAGCTTATAATTCTGTAGGTTGTCAATTTTGGCTGGGCCCAGAGGGGCAGGTCTGGTCCCTTCTGGACTCACTCTTGCATCTGTGATCAGGAAGATAGCCAGGGGGCTCTCTGGGCTGGGGTGGCCTCATCTGAGACCACTGGCCTCTCCTCCACACCCTCTCTCATTCTCCAGTAGGCTGGCTCAAGCTTGTTCACAGAGCAGAGGCAGGATTCCAAGAGCGAGAGCAGAAGCCAGAGGCCCCTTGAGGTCTGAGTCCAGAATTAGCGCAGTCTTATTTCTGCCACTTCCTATTGGCCCAGGCAAGTCACATGACCAACCCACATTCAAGGATAGAGAAATGGACTCTGCCTCTTGCTGGGCGGGGAAGAATCATGACCATCTCTGCAATCTACCACCAATGGCGGGAGTGTGGGGCTGCCTCCCCAGCCTCCCACTCACTGCCCTTACAATCCTCTTCCCCAGGCACACGGAACCCACAGTTCTCTCTCTCTCTCTCTCTCTTTCCTCCCTTCAGATGGGTGCTCAATGCTTCTCTGACCACGTGGAGAAAGACACCACCCAATAGCTTCCAAGTCCACAACAGCTCTGTTGAAGGGACCAGCCCACCTTAGCTAGACTCCCTTTGCCCTGCTTCTGGAACCCCTGAGGAAAGCATCTGATTGGCTCACCGGGATCCTGTGTCATCCTCAGCCCCATTGCTGCCACCAGGGTGGAGGCAGAGATGCATCACACAAGCAGAGCCCAGGGGCTTAGCCCTGTCTGTGGAGCTCGGAGCTCAGAAAACGGGGGAGGTATAGCCTTGTAAGCTAGGAAGGCCTCATGAGATGGCTTCTACACATGTGGCTTATTTTTTGTTCCTCTAAAAAAGAAAAAAGAAAGGAAAAAAACCTTCAGAATAGAGATGTTTGGGAGGTTATCGCCTTTGTGAACAAAATCAACCATTTGGTTGTGAGCTGTTCGAGTTTAACAGCCCTGGGTGAGCCTTCTGCAGATAGAGCTGACATCTGAGGAACACTCGAGCTCCGTGGCCAGCACAGAGCCCCAGCACAGGGTCCCACACAGCCCTGTGACCGACACCACCAGCGGCAGACCTGAGTTCAAACCTGAACTGCTGAGTGCTTGCCACATGTCAGCCACCAACTGTCCCTTTGTGACTCGTGTGTCATATCATCCTCACTGCACCCTGGGGGGAGGGAGAATCCACCCCATTGTACAGACGAGGCAGGTGGGGCTCGCAGAGTGGTTCGGTGACTTGCTCAGAGTCCCGTAGCTGGGAGGTGCAGGAGCTGGTCTCCAAGCAGGGCTGCCTGGCTCTGAACTCCCTGTCTCCAATTGTTCCACTGCCTTGTGCTCCGTCCCTGGAGCCAGAGTCCCCTTCCTCTTCCATGTTTCGGGTATTGTCACTGTGCTCACGTGCACAGGATGGAGGTCAGGCTCAGAGAGGGAAAACGATTTGCCCAAGATCACACAGCCACTCATGATGCCAACTCGTCTGCCGGACTCAAAGCCCATGCCCACACCAGTCTGTCTAGAAGGACTGACTCTGCAGTGAGGCCCTCCCCTGTCTGCACCAACACGGCGCTGTCCCAGACATTCACCTCCTGGCCGCTGGAAGGTGGCTAGTGCCACTGAATAATTTGGTACTTTATTTACTTTTCATTCATTTTAATTTATATAGCCACCTGTGGCTAGTAGGTACTGATTTGGACAATTTAGCTCTAAATCCTAATTGCTAAAAAATAAATAACTGGGGCCAGTCCCATAGCACAGTGGTTCAGTGGGTCCCATGTGGCCAACTGGGGTTTGAACCCCAGCCCTAGCAGCTTGAAAAACCTGCCAGGCATGTGCACGTATGCTCAGGATCCTGTTGGGATGGACAGGTGGAGGGAGAAAGGACTGCAGTGTAACCAGGCCCCGGGGGGCTGTGCACGCTCTCTCATGCACACATGTGCACATCCTCTGGCATTATGAATAAGTAAATCAATAATCCACCCCCCGGTCCAGCCTAGGTGTTGCAGGCAGTACTGCACTGATCTGCAATGCCTGAAGCCGCACGGCCAACCACAGGCGGGATCCTGATCCTGAGCTGACCTGAAACACGTCAAGACCATGTGCGCCCAACATCCCGACTAGCCGGGAAGCTAGAGGAAGGGGACTGGGGCATGACACGTTCCCGTCGAGGGTGGCTGGCTCCCTCCCCCATCTCTAAACTAAATAAACTTTGTAAACAGTTCTCTAGCACCCACGTGTAAGTGCTGATTCTGGGGCCATCCTGGGGTGGGGTGGGGTGGGGGTGCTTATCCCGGTCTGTCTAAGTGTCCATTCTCGCTCAAAGCCTGATACCTAACTGGGCCTCACCCACCCCGGGCATCCTGCGGCACCACTTCCTTCCACCAGTAGAGGCGAAGGCAGTCATTTCCTCACGCAGGAAGGGAGTTGGTCTCTGCAGCTCTGAGCCTGATTCGGCCTCAGGGGTGACGCTGTAGCCCCCACCTCGGCCAGCAACCACCAGCAGGCATCTGAGTTACCCAGTGCTTGTACATGTGCGTTTACAATGCTCATCCCATCTATTCGCCGGTCAGCTCACAGCCTCACCTGTCACCCAGTAGACGCTCAATGAATGTTGGTTGGAAGAACGCAATGCTAACCCCCCACCCTGGCGTAGCTCGAAGGCTCAGAAGTGGAAGCATTGACCGAGGCAAAATCTCCAGGCAGGAGTTTAGCAGGAACGAGCAAGAATAAATTCCCCCACTCTCAGTCAGAAAAACAGGGCCTAGTGTCCTGGGGCTCCTGCCCTGACCCAGGGGGCATAATCATCCTGCCATATCAGAATAGCCCATTCTGATTGGTAGCTGTGGCAGAGACTGCCCAGAGTCCCAGCACAAAGCCTCTCCCTCCCCACAGTAACAGAGGCCTGGATTTACTTTATTTGTTTTATTTGCTAGAGGGTACATGCACTTGCCGGAGAGACAGAGAGACAGAGAGAGAAGGAGAGTGAGAACCTAGCCTTCATGGGGTGGCCACATGTCAGTTCCCTCTTCGCCATCTCTCCTGCCTTTCGGAACCTGAGGCACACACACAAGAGCCCAGTGGTCCAGGACTCGAACAGTGCAGTCAGTGGTCTGGGGTCTTAACCACCAGACCATGGGCTGACCCCAGGCAACTGGGGGTAACAAAACCCATTTTCCATTTTCCCTTGACATTGGATTAGGCATGACCATGTGGCTACATTCTTGTCAATAAGATGTGAAAAGTATCATGTATGATTTGCTAACCCTGACCCTAACCTCAATCCTGGGAGCCCATCTATGCTCCCCAGGATAGACTGCCTAAGTCTATTACCGATGTCTGCTCCCATGTTTGCCAGGAAGACGTGCCTACATCCATTATTGATGTCTGCTGAGAGCTTGGAAATAGAGAGTGGGGACACAGCTGTGTCATTCTCTTTACTCCCTCAGGGGCAACAGAAAGAACCTTACTGCACATTCAGAATCACTCATGGTGTACCGTGAGTCACAGTGACAAAGGCGCAGGGAACTTCCGGGCTGCTTTCCCTGTCTGGTTCATTCGGATATTCACTGAGCAACGCTCCATTCAAAACGCTGGAGACACAGCCATGAACAAGACGGCCATGGTCTCTGCCCTCGCGGAGTCTGCAGACTCGATTTGCAGAACCCAGTGCATTCCTTGCTCGAGTCCTCAACCCTTCCTCACCCAACCTCTTCCCTCTTTCAAATGCAGCCAAACTCTCTTCCCCCCTCCCTCTCTGTCTCTCTCCCACAGTCTCCTTCTGGCTCTCCCTCTCGCTCTCTCATACTTACACACAAACTTCAGCAGTAAGCTTTCTCTGAATTCCAGCACTAATGACAGAAACGTGAGACATCACTGTGCAGGCGGAGTGAAAGGACTAGTAGACCTAGAACCATCAAAGAATAAAGTCAACAAATCACTCATTCAGCCAGTCATCTTCCCCCAGCACTTGATCCGTGTGGAGCCCTGTGCTGAGCAGAACGAGGGGCTGAGAGGTGAATGTGACAGCGTGAACCCCACATTCCTTGTGTCCACAGTCCAGAGGGGGACGGATCTGCCCCCAGACATAATCAGGGTTGGATTGTGGGAACCCCAAGGGGAGTTCCGATCCTGGAATCCAGGAGGGCTTCTAGAGGGAGAGGAAATCTGTACCAGAGGACACATGAAGGTCATGAACACGGCCAGCCCCATGGCTTGGTGGTTAAGGGAGGGAGCTCGATCTCATATAGCCAACCATGTGGTTCAAATCCCAGCCCCAGTGGCTTGAAAATCACACCAGGTGTGCATGCATGCCCCAAGTCCTGACAGGATGGAGAAATGAAGGAGAAGGGATTGTGGCATGACCATGTCCCACTGGGGGTGCTTTCTCTCTCCCTCTCTCTCTCTGTCTGGTGCATATACACACACGCTGGCAAACTTAAAAAAGGGGGGAAGCATGAACCAGATCTCTGGAGGGTGATACTTGCCAGGTTTCACGTCTAAGGTTGTTATCGCATCATTCCTGTTTATTTCCCCAAACCCTAGAAAGGGGGTGCTGTTGTTAGCTAGTAGGGGACTCGAGCTGTCGTGTCCTAGTGTGAGTTACCAGCCCTGGGCTCTGCTGCCATGGGTGGGTGACACAGAGCCATTCCAAGACAGCGAGATCTCAGAGTGAGCAGAGCCGGGACAGGGAAGCCTAAGAGGCCTTGCGAAACCGTGCAAGGGCACTCACTGCCCAGCGCTGGAACCCAGGGCCTTCACGAGGAAGGGAAGATGGTATGATTAGGCAGAGTGTGGCCAGTTCCCCATGCCTTCCGGAGTAAACAGGTTCACTTAGGGGGCCCAGAGGATTTCCTCTGGCTGACAGTAAGTGGGCAGAGGAAGAGATGTCAGTTTCGTCAGGAACCTGAGCACCAGCCAGGCTCAGGGGGTGGGGGGGGGTCTGAACTTTGTCCTGTGACACCCTGCGCAGCAACCGCCAGCAGGCCCGAGGGTGTGGCTCTGATTAGTCATGGCTGCTTAGACCTGGGCTGAGGGAGCAGGTTTCATTTCCTTTCATGGGCTTCGAGAACGAGCACTGGGGATGTGGGAGGGAAGGAAGGAGGGAACACCCCTGGAGGGGGCTGGTGGGACACACGGGAAGGGAAGGGCCCTTGCTGGGCAGGGCAGGCTGTCGGGGAGGCAGGCAGGCAAGAGCTTGTGGTACTCAGGGTTTCTTTCCTGGCTCCTTCATGCTGAGTCTCAGAGAACAGAAAGACTGCCTTGTCCTCACCGCCAGCGCCACCCCGTCTGTTTCTGTCCCTCTCCATGTGGCACCAGAGACAGCAGGACAGGGCTTGTCACTACCAGTTTCTACATGAGGAACACGAGATTTCGCTGCAGTGGGTCCCTACCCTGCATGAAACTCTCTATAGCTCCCTACTGCCAACCGAAGTCGTTCCTGATTAGAAGTGCCCAGCAAGGTAAGGGGGCTACAGAAACCAGAGGGGGGCATCTCAGTGAGATCCCAGACCACCCCTCTGTTCTCAGAGGTGGAGAGGGGTCAGGAAGTGGTTATCGGGGAAACCATACAGCTCCTTAACTCAGCCTGCTCAAGCCAACTGCAGAAATCTCCCCCCACTGCATCTTCCGCCTGTCCTCATCCAGATCAAAACAAGATGGAAACCTTTGCAAATGGTGATCCTTAATTTTTTTTTCTCCAAGACTAGCAGCCACCAAAGCCCCTCCGCCTCCCAGTGACCCTCACCACATTCTGGCCCAGCCCTGATACTCCAATTCCTGTTTTTCCCCCAGAGATTTTTGCCTTAGGGCACAGGAGAGAGACAGACAGACAGACACAGTGAAAAGGAAAGTGAGAAATCCCTCCCCCC